GTGCAAGATCAAGGCACCAGCAGATTTGGTGTCTGGTGAGGACTTCTCTTTGCTTCCAAATGGCACTTCTTGCTGTATCTTCATATGGTGGAAGGGCAAACAGTTCCCTCCCACCCCTTTCTTAAGGGGCTCTTCCCTCTGTATTTGATTTAAATAATATTGTTATGCTATAATTTCATTTTCAACTACATTGGATTTCTAAGGTAGATTAGTAACATTTTAGTTTGAAATATATATATGTTTTGTGAAATTATAATATTTAAATAATTTCCATATTCTAAAACAGAAACTTTTAATGTGATTGGACACATTCAATATATAATTATCAGCAAAAAAGTAACAATAAAAAGCAAGAATATACTACAACTCTGTGGTTCTGCTGCAATGAATAGGCAATAAAGCTTTAAAATTTCAAGGGAAGGGGTGTGGTGGCGCCCGCCCTATGGAAAAACCTATGGAGGCTGGAGGATTGCGGCATTGAGTCCATCTCTCTCTCTGGGACCAGCAGTTAGCGTAATGGCTATGTCACTGGACTCCCATGTAGTCGACCGCAGTTCGTGTCTCAGACCCAGTGGCTTAAAACTCATGACGGGCGCGTGTGTGTGCATGCTCAAGATCCCGAGAGGAGAACGGAGGAGAAAGGATTGCGGCATGGCCATGCCCCCTGGGGGTTGATTTCTCGCTTTCTGTCTCTCTGTCTCTGTCTGTCTGGCGAGGACACGCGTCCTATAGCAAAAACCTCTCTCTCAAAAAAAAAAAAAAATCAAGGGAAAAGGTAAATTTACAAAATAATAGAGAGTAATATTTTGTATTAAATATTTACTAATGGCCTGTATTACTTAAAAGAGAATAACATATAATACTCATAATGGTAAAGTTTAGTTAGAAGGAAAAGATACATTGACCATAAAGGTCACACCGTAAGTTGAGAAATGGATATTATGACCCTAAGATAGAACCACAGATATTTTAGGTCACCTGCATTTTCAAATTTGCTAGATAAATATTCTTTTTTTTTCCCATAGGAGCAAAAACTTGCTGCTGTTATGTCTTTATGGGGACTTCCTCAAAGAACTGTGGTGTTTAGGTAGAATTACTTAAAGAGGAAAATAACTTACTGAATTATGTACCAGGAACACACCACCCAGTGTTTGGCCATGACTTATTTTATATGGCAGTGTGTGTCTCATTCAATATAATGACTTTTTCTTAAAATAAAAAATAAGTGTATGAATAAGAAAGTAAAAGAAAATACATCATATGGCATGTTACAAAGATTTGCCCAACGTCTTAGTTGGCTAAACATCAAGTGCATCATGGAAAAAAAGAGTGGTTATTATTAAGGGAAATCGTAAAGTCTTCTTTATTTACTTACGGGGAAATGTTTCAAACAGTAGAACCACTTTACATTTTACAGGATCATTTAAGCGAGGTCTGGGACTGGAGGTGCCACAGTAGTTAAGGCACTGGACTATTGCAGGGCCAACTATAGTTGGAGCCCAGGACCTGATGGCTTGAACATCATTCTGGATGCATGTGCATGAGTGCCCGAAATCCTAAGAGGAGAGTAGAGAAGGGACTGCTGTGTGACCCTCTCTCCTGTAGAGTGATAGCTCACTTTCCCTCTCACTTTCCTTCTCTCTCTCTCTCTCTCTCTCTCTTTCTCTCTCTCTTTCTCTCGGGCAAAGCACATGCTTCTATGGCAAAAACCTTAAAAAAAAAATTTTTTTTTTTAAAGCAAGGTCAGGGGCCAGCAGGTGGCGCAGTGGCAAGGCACTGGACTCCCATATGGCTAACCACCATTAGAATCCTGGACTTGGAGGCTTGCTTTCTCATTTTCTTTTTCTCTCTCTCTCTCTCTCTCGGGCCAAAATAAAGAAAAAAAAAATACTACTACTAATAAATTAAATACATAAGTTTTTTTAAAAAAAGGCAAGGTCTTATTTGAAAAAGAATTCAAGTTTCTGTTAACTGGCTAATTAGATTTTATATTCCTCCATCTAATTTCATGAGCAAATACCGCTTGTACACATCTTAGAAAACACCCAATTCCTGGCAATGGTTTATGCCATGGTAAAGAGTTAACTCCTTCCTCCTGCCCTAGTTTCTTTTCCAGTATTTGCACAAGGAGATTGCAGCTATGCGGGATCTATTTTAAGCAATTTTGAATGAGAGCAATAATATATTTTTCTTAACTCTAATACATATGTTTATAACTGCACTTTTATCTATATCAGCTCTTTCTAATGACAGACCACATTATTTGGGGTTTATTTGAATAACACTTTCTAAGTACATTTCACTACCTCAGGCTAGAAGGCTGACAAAAAGACCAAGTAGGTCCTATCTAGGATACTCTAAAGGGAGAGAGATGCCAAAAGCATTGCAGGAAAAAAAAATGTATCCTTAAAGATTATTACCACCGTGTCTACCAGAGTGAGGAGTAGGTGGTGTAATATTCTCAGATATAAATTCTCTGAGGCAGAACATAGAATTTTACTACCTAAATGTAATAAGATGTATTGTGCTATCAGCAAAGGCCATGGAGCTCTATGTGATTAAAATAAAAAAGGATCCAAATATCTGCCTTTAACTACCATTTAATGATAATGATTTTTGTCTTTAGCATTTATATTGGAAGTCAAGAAAGAGGCAAGCTGCAGGCTATCAGATAATAATATGAATGATAATAACTAACAATTGCCTTGCTCTTCCTCCTTAGTTCTTAGTAGTCTATGTTTATTCTTAAAGAAAGTCTTCTCTCTCATCTTAGTTTATATGGTAATCAAAATGTTAGTTTAAAAACTAATGTGCTACGGTGCTACATGCCAATGAAAGAAGCCTTAGCACGGGATTTATACCAGGAAAGAAGATTCAGCAAAAAGGTACTAGGAGTCAGTTGCTTCCATATCCTCTCACTTAGGGCAAACTTTTTTTTTTTTTTTTAGGGCAACTTTTTACGGTACATATTGTCTCCCATTTGCTTTGACAAAAGTAGAAAACTAGGCCTGATAAGCTTGTAATAAATATAGCCTCACAATCACATAGTTGTTACCTACAGCTAGCTTATACAGGTTGAGCACTCCTAATGCAAAACTAAAAAATGTTCCAAAATCTTAAATGTCCCCAAATCAGAAACTTTTTGAGTACCAACACAATACCACAAGTGGAAAATATCACACCCGACCTCACACCTGACCTCATGTGATGTTACGTTACTGAACCTAAAGGAGTTTGCAGGGAAGAAAAGGAAAGGCTTTTTTGCAAGGTACCAAGTAAAGAAAATGGGGGGTAATAAATTTCGTGTTCAGACTTGGGTCCCATCACCAAGATATCTCATTATTATCTGTTTGCAAATATTCTTAAGGACTCTGAAGTCTGAAACACTTCAGGTACTGAGCATTTTGCATAGGAAGTACTCAGTCTCTGGTAGGTTATGAAAGCAAGTGAGAAAGAAGGCAAGTTGTTCAGCAGTCTACTGCAGAGCCTGGTACAACTGCAGTACCTTACAGCCCTTCAGTCCCTTTCCCTTATCCTTTGTTTTAATTTCTTCTGTATTTTTCAAGTGTATTTGTCTTCCTCATTTGGTGGAAGCTTCGTGAGAACTGAAGTACTCTTACGTATTTTTTGTTATTCCTTTATGCCTACTGGGGATTTCCGTGCATAAAGTTGAACTGGAATAAGATGGTTGAAATCACTAGAAAATGCATCAAAGTATAGTGTTGTATTTGATTGTAGCTATTTCTTAATATCACTTAAGAGGTCACTGTGGGAACTAGCTGGTGGCTCAGTGGTAAAGCAATGGTGGGCCCACATGAGAAGGCCCCACATTCCTGTCCCGAGGCAGCCCTATGCACACCCAGCATGTACATGTGCGTGATCCAGGCTGGGTGAGGCGGAGGGTGTACCATAGAGGAAAAACCCCTGAATCATGGGATGACTGTCTCTCTGTTGCTCTCTCTCACGAAGAAACTAATAAATAAATCATTTAAAAAATAATTATGATGTCCTCAGTGTAGTCACGTTGTATACATTTTTATTCGATTTATTGATCATGACTGTATTAGAAAACTCAATTTATTGATAATCATTTCTCCTACCTTAAAAAGTAGTAGTATACTATTTACTATCTACTCAGGCATACAAGTAATGGTCAAATGCTTAAAATGGAAAGTCTGGAAATTTTCAAAATAATAAAAAAAAATCTTAAAATCTAAATTATAGCATAATAATGAAATGCTATATAGGCAGGCCACCCTCAATCCCCAAGAAAAAGGAAATCACAGAAATTTAAAAATGACAAGTTAAAAAACAGGTTAAGGGACCAGCAGTTGGCATAATGCCTGTGTTGCTGGACTGCCATGTAGTCGACTGTGGTTCAAGTCCCAGACCCAGTGATTTAAACTCACGCCGGGCACTTGTACATGGGTTCCCAAGATCCTGAGAGGAGAATAGAGAGAAAGAATTGCAGCGTGGCCATCCTCCTCCCCCCTCGGGGGCGGGGGGGAGTGTTGTGATTTCTCGCTTTCAGTCTCTCTGTTTCTGTCTGTCTTTCTGGTGAGTGCACACGCTCTATAGCAAAAACCTCTCCAAAAAAATAAATAAATAAATAAACAGGTTCAGAAGACTGGCAGGTGACATGGTGGTTAAGGTGCTGGGCTTCTGCATGGTCACTACAGTTCAAGCCCCAGACCTGGTGGCTTGGAAATTATACTGGCTGTGTGTGCATGTGTCCAGAATACCAAGAAGTGAATGCAGGAGGACTGTGGTGTGGTCATTCCCCCAGGAGGTGATTTTTCACTTTCTCTCTGTCTGTCTCTACAAAAAGAAAAACAAAAACAGAGTTCAGTATTCTTTTTGGTGTTGAAAAAGTATGCTTTTATATAATGAGTAAGACATTGTAAAGGCCTCATAAAAGTGTTTATTTACAAAAGTTGATATTTGAAAAACTTACACATACAAAGTTGAGAAACAATTAAAATATCCCTTTTCGATTGCAGAGGATTCTATGGTCATGAAGTAGGGAAACGTCCCTGGATTACAGGAGATGAGACTCTTTTAGGCCTTATGAAGGACATTGTAGGTAAGCACAAAGCACTGAATTATTTTTTTCCCAAAAGAATTGTAAAGATATAATAATTTACTTATAAATGTAAATGATAAAGTCAATAACTGATTGAAGAGTGTCTTAGTATTACATCTTAGCCAATAACAATAAAGGGTAAGTTTTACTTATACTCGTTTATTCAAGGGTTGCTATAATGAACAGAACCAAGTTACTTGGCACAAAAACAAAATATATGAAATTTTTATATTAGCAATATTTATCACTCCTTATGAAAAACTCATGTGTAGTATTAATTTAGAATTAAACACATTTTGTAAATATCATCCTAAATGTATTTTCTATAATTTCACTAGATGATAAAAAATGAACAGTTACTTTCACATGCTGAAAGTGTAAAACACCACTCGTGTTCTGGGTCATTTCAATTTAATCCTTCGTAACCTATTTAAACTTAGATGTAGTGTTGTAGAAAATAATATCGCTAACACTGTTTGGGTCTATCATGTGTTTTCTAAAGTAAGTTCCTATGTACGATTGTTGGTATTCAAGGTAGTTTTAAATGGTAAATATGTTATCATTTTGAAAAAAAATATTTATTTAATTGGGTTGAATATTGAGCTTTGCCTGAAATCTTATGTGAAAATTAGAGTACTAAATAACAACAGCAAAACTAATTTAGCTATTTGGAGTGGTGCTATCTGAGAACTTTTGAAGGATAATATGTAAGCAATTTTCAAAATACTTTGTTAAACTTCATTCCCTTATAAGCAAGTACAAAAGAAACTTTTTTTGCTTTATCCCATTTGAATCTTGGCCAGTAATTAAAATTCAAAATCAATTTCGGCTAGGAGGAAATGGAATTAGAATGAAGAAAGGAGGACTTACAGACAGAAAGAATTATGGCAATCATTAGAATTTAGGGTATATCTTATTTATTCAAAAAATGACTATTGAATCTCTGATGTATGTGAAGAGTCGTGGGAGACACTGATAATAAAATGACTAGTAGGAATGTTCATTGCTTTAGTCCATTCTTGTTTGCTAATAACAGAATTATACAGACAGGGTAACTTACAAAGAACAAAAATGTGTTCCTATCACTATTCTGGAGGTCCAAATCTAAGAGGCTGCATGTGGTGAGATTCTCGCTGGTGGAGGTCCTCCGAAGAGTGCTGAGGCAGCACAGGGCAGCACATGTCAGAAGTGAGAGTTTCACCTCTGGTTTCTTTCCCTCTTTTTATAAAGCTACCAGAATCCAATCAAGCCACCTCATCCTGATGACCTTATTACTGATACCATTGCCTTCCAAAGGCCTACTTCTTAATCCCACAGTCAGATTACATTTCTACTCTCTTAATTATATCACGCTATCAGTAAAAGTTGAATAACAACCAATGAATTTAAGGAGATACATTAAAATCATAGCACTCATTATGTTTATCCTCAAAGGACTGCTAGTAAAAGGAGACACAATGTATAAAATTAATATATTGGATTGTCAGAAAAGTCATGATGTATTTTTTCTGTGCAAAATGAGTCACAACTTTTCTTTTTTCTTTCAGAATTTTTTTGGAGAGGTTTTTGCTATAGGGCGCGTGCGCTCACCAGGCAGACAGAGAGAGACAGAGAGACAGAAAGCGAGAAATCACCCCCAGGGGGGATGGTCATGCCACAATCCCTTCTCCTCCATTTTCCTATCTGGATCTTGGGCACGCACGCACACGCACCTGGCATGAGTTTTAAGTCACTGGGTCCGGGACTCGAACCACGGTCGACTACGTGGGAGTCCAGCAACATAGCCATTACGCAAACTGCTGGTCCCAACATCACGACTTTTCTGACAATCCAATACATACATAATCACATACAATATGAATAAATATACAATTAATCATTATGACCTGTTACAAAGGAGATGTAATTTTCACTTGGTGGAGAACTGAACACATACATTTAACTACTCTTTTCTGAAATCTCACTAAACAACTCTTAATGGAATTAGAATATAAGAAAGTGTAAGTCCCAAACAACAAAATAGAATAGCAAAGGAGATGATAATAGTGATAGTGATATTTTGTAGGTGGCTAACAGGTAATTCCAACTGCTAAAAAAATAAAAAAGAATAAACAAAATTTGAATCTCTCCAATGGTGAAAAATGAAAAGCCTTCTGATTTATGCTACAGATTTTTCAAAGACTTGGGTCTTACACTAATTTGTAAGCATCTCTAGAAGTGGAGACACAAATAAGAATAAAAATATACAGACTTGTTGAATGTCTGTCCAAAATGTAATTAGTATTCCAGATCCCTTTATCCATTCCATGCTGTCAAGTAAAAACCCCACTCAAGGGAAA